GGACTCCACGATGGGTGATTTCCACAAGCGCAATGTTTCTGTATTAATCCCTTAAACTGTTCTCATCTACACAACTGAGACATCCATCCCTGTGTGTCCAGGCACTGACAAAGCACAGGCTCTCCTCAGACATCCCTCAGCCACTGCCACTCATAAATCAACCCAGTTCTGACTTTCCCCCTTACATAAATGTTTAGATGTCTCCAAACTCATTCTACTTTAAAAAGTTCAAGTCACACATTAGCGAAGTAAAACACATCTGGCAACTTGACATTTTGAAGAACTTACAGCAATGCCAGAAGGAATGTCTCAGAGCATGAATGGGAGGCCAGCCAGCCCAACCTCAGCCCAACCCCAGCCCACCACAGTCCAACCCCAGCTCAGCATAGCCCATCCCAACTCCAGCTCAGCCCCAGCCCAACCTCAGCCCAACCCCAGCCCACCACAGTCCAACCCCAGCTCAGCATAGCCCATCCCAACTCCAGCTCAGCCCCAGCCCAACCTCAGCCCAACCCCAGCCCACCACAGTCCAACCCCAGCTCAGCATAGCCCATCCCAACTCCAGTTCAGCCCCAGCCCAACCTCAGCCCAACCCCAGCCCACCACAGTCCAACCCCAGCTCAGCATAGCCCATCCCAACCACAGCCCCAGCTCAGCCCCAGCCCAACCTCAGCCCATCCCCAGCTCGGCATAGCCCAGCACAGCCCCAGCCCCATCTAACTTAGTCCAGCTCAGCACAGCCCAACCACAGCTAGCTTAGCCTAGCACAGCCCAGCCCCAGCAGAGCCCAGTCCCATCTCACTTAACCCAGCCAGCATATCCCAGACCCAGCCCAGTCATAGACAGTACACATTCTAAAACAAAAAGATAATAAAATATCCAAAAGATTTACAAGCTGAAGTTCTGATCTCGAAGAGATTTTTTTTTGGTCAGTTGGGTGTCTGACCCACACAGAAACCCATCAACATGCTTAAGAATATCCAAAGCAAACAGAAAATTCCATGCATCCCAGCTACACATGGAAATTCCTTGCGTCTCCCAAAGAGACGCAAGGAAGATTTCTGACTCCGTCAGAATGAGCTGCGGGACAGAATTGTACTCACAGAATTCCTGGCCGGCAAAAAGCCTTCGGGTGGAGAGAGACTGGTTTTGGGGGGAACTCCGCGAGACAGCCTTCAGCGATGAAGGAGAAGTGGGAGGAGGGGATGAGGAGATGCCAGAAAAGGTGGAACTGACGGAGGTGTCGGGGAAGCGATTTGAGATGGACACGGATTTCGGTACATCGAGGGATGTTGTAATTTCCTGCTGGGTCTCGAGGGCTGGTCGCTGTGAGGTTATTTGGCCGGAAAGCACGGGCTGGATACGTGTTACGTGGGTGTCGGCGAAGTCCGGCACATCCCCCTTCACATCCATCAGGTCCAGCGCTTTGCTCTCGCGAGTCCTGCTCACCAGGAGCCATTTTGCGGCAGCTACGCTGAGCAGTGAGTAAACCAGCCCTGCTAAAGCCAGCCCAGCGCAGGGCTTCTCACAACATAGTCGCCAACGCCTCCCGCGGCTTAGCTCCACCCTCACCCGGTAACGACAGTCCCCGGCCGGTCCCGTCTCCTCCTCTCTCCCGCTGGCCTCGCCATGCTCACCCAGAACTTCGATGGGAACAGAGACCGACAGACTTTGTCCGAGTGGTGGAGCCAACGAATATGTAAGTCGCTCTTGAGCCATGTCTTACGTGGTGGGTTAGACCCCAACACCCAACTAACTGACCGGCCCAACCTCACAACAGAGCAGAACACATCAACGCCAATCCCCAAGGAGCACGAGAGTGGGGTGGAGGGGGTGGAGAGGGGTTACACAAACTCAGGCCTGTACTGCATCCAGGAAAGCAAATGGCACACTTCACAGCACGACACAACACGGCACCCAGTAACGAGCCCAAAACCAATTCACCAAGATCAACTTTCACAGTGAAACCTTGCTCCTCATCACCGGGGGAAGGTTTTGTCTGAGCCGAATTAGGCTTTGCACAGAGATTCCTTTTGCCTGTTTGTTCCCACACGTCTGCCTGGTCTTGGGGGGCGCGGTTTGGGGGGAGAATTCTCAGTATAACTGAGAAAGGACGCCCTTTCCCGAGAGTCAGCTCAGCTGAAATCCTGGCTTCGGATTTCCCCCGCTCAATAAAGATCCTTGTGATCAAAGCTGCGTTGAGCACCCCTGCACAGTGATTGGCTAACCAAGCTTCAGAAGAGAGCTGTCAGAACAGGGGAGGGGAGGGGAAGGGGTGATGGAGAGGGCGGGGGGGTGGGGTGGGGTGGGAAAGGAAGCAGTACATCACTTAGCGAGCAGAGCAGAAACAATCGATTAGGGTAATGCAAAGAGTTACACACGTGCGTGTATGTGTGTGGGGGGCGCAGGAGAGTGGGGGGGGGGGGCATAGAATAATCTGACACAAGGTTCATGTGATGATACTCTCTGGGGAGAAGCATTTAGTGATAACCTCCTCCTACCCTCCCTACCTCTCGCCCCCGGAGGATAAGTAAAGCATGGATCACGCTGCACCCCCCCCACCCAACCCGCCCCATATCAAATTCTGATCCGGTGACTGCCAGCGAGGAACGAAAGATAGGAATCTACGAAGTTGCAGATGAGAAAAAATATAGCTCGGGGTGAGGAAGGGCTGGGGTTGGGAGGTGAATATCTACAGGCATCCAAACACTGCGGAACATGGGGCAGTTGAGTATGTCTGTGCGTACTGCTGTTTTCACTTTAACTGCTGTCTATCAGGCAGTGGGCTGGACATAGACCACAGACCTGGAGGTCTGTTCTGGCCTCTAATGCACAAAACAGACAGCAAAGCTCACCTGCTGTGGTGGCCTGACCTCGGCTCTCCCACAGTGCCAACACTTTGCTGTGAGAGACGTACTCACGATCTCTCCTTGAGCTGTCACCCTCAAGGCTTCAGGTGAGGAGAGGATTAAACACCACACCGATGTTTATAATAATAATAATAATACTTGCATTTGATATAGCGCCTTTTCACATTTCAAGATGTCTCAAAGATCTTCACAGAATACACTGTTAAGTGAATTAACTATCTATTTTGTGGGCAAAATGCAGCAGTCAATTGCACACAGCAGTGTCCCACAAACAGTCATGGATTGAGTGACAAAATTATTTTTATTTATTTTGAAGGAATTATTATCCCCGGAAAAGCAATCCACCAATCGACTAACAACCAGATTCCTACTTACTGCTAGGTAAGCAGAGCTGTGTAGAGTAAGGAAACTTGCCCAACGTTTCGCCTTGCCCAGGAATTGAACCCAGGTCCTCTTGTTGCGAGGCGAGTGCTGTGAATAATAAGGTACCAATATGCACATTAAACATAACTGTTACTTATTTCCCTCATTTTCACAATTGGAGGTTGGGAAGTGGGGGAATGGCGGTTCGGTCGAATAAGATCAGTAACACTAAAGATATGTGGTTCTTCAAAAAAAATTATTAAAACAAAAAATTTGGTCACGCAATCTAAGATTGTTTGTAGGACACAGCTGTGCGCAATTGGCTGCTGCATCTCAACCACACAAGGCGCTGTATCAAATACAAGGATTATTATTTTGAATCTGTTCCTGTTTCTTCCTTGCATACTGACTAACACACAGTTCCATTTTTACCAGACAGCTCTCTGCGACACCTTCCCATGTCAGCATTTCACTGGCCCACTGTGAACCGCACACTGCAGCTACCAATTCTACGGATGAGCACGGACTAAACAACGAGATTCTGTGTTGCATTCCCTGCTATCAGTTGCCAGCTCACTGTTTCACAGTGTGGAGGCAACACTTCATTACAAACAACAACAACAACTTGCATTTATTTCAGGCAGGGCAGGGTCCCAGAGCGCATGATAGTTGCGGAGTCTGACGCTGAGCTGGAGGGACGAGGGGGGAGGTCTTCAGGCATGATCTGAAGATGAGTAAGAAGGGGGCAAGGTGGAGGGATTGAGGGAGAGTGTTCCAGAATTTCCAGGAGTAGTGGTTGAACGTGCGGACACCGATGGTGGAATGGAGGGGACAAGGGACAAGCAGGAGGCCAGAGCCAGCTGAGCGGAGGCAACAGGTAGTGGACTAGGGAGTAATCAGATCAGCAGGTAAGCAAGTATCTGTACAGACATACAGATACACGCATACACACACACAAATGGCAGCAATCAATGACATTGATTTCACATTATACAATTGCACCTGCTGTCTGCTGTCTGTCTCATGTATTAAGAATACACTATCATTCCACACTCTATCAAATGAATCGTGCGGCCTACAGACTGATGGGACACGGAGAATGCAGCTGTCTTTGCATTATCGTTGTTCTCTTGCCAACAAACTGTGACAACATGACAAATCAAGGTCTCTCAGGGTACAGACCGGCAATAGCTAACACACAGAATTCTTCCCACTTGGATCCCATTAACTGTGCAAGCCAAAGCTCCAGTAGGTCGGGTGGTCCTAGCTAGACAAGGTGCGGGGAGCTTGCCAGGCAATATTCACGTTGGCAAGCTGTGCGGATTTAGCTAGTTAAACTCCTAGCAGCTACATCCCCACCACAGCACTCTGTGGGGTCCCCAAGACTTGGCTCTTGCCAACCTGCACTTAATACTTTCCAGAATTAGGTCAGCAGCGTGCATCCCTCCAGAGAGAGCGAAAGAGATGGTTAGACTCCAACAGTTACCCCAACGCATACTCTGGAGTCCCCAAGCTTGGCTCCTGCCAACCTGGGCCTAATACTTTCCAGAATTAAGTAAGCAGGATGCATCCCTCCAGGGAGAGTGCGGATTCCATTCCAACAATCTATCTCTGGGATTTCCATGTGTAGGCGGGACGGATAGAACTTTCAGTTTGGTATGGATACTTTTAATCACGGTGATGGGCATGTGTCAGACACCTGGCTGACCAAAAAAAGAGAGAATCTGGCAAGAGAAAGGTTGGCAAAGCCACTGAACACAAACTTACCAGCTTGGACATTAATGGTGCACTTCGAAGTAACCTTGCCTTGACCATTTTCAGCCTCGCACGTATACTCCCCAGCGTCTTGTAACTTCACTTTATTTATGTGAAGCCGCGAATTTTTTCTGTGGGAAAAAAATGGGAAACAGCTTGGAATCGAATTTCAAACAGAGGGCCTGTCAAGTACAGGAGGAAGAACAAACAAACAACAGGTTGCATTTATACAGTGTGCAATTGTCTGTCACGTTTCGCCATCAAAATACACAGTCAATTCACTTTACAGTATATTCTGTGAAGTGCTTTGGGACGTTTCAAAGATGTGTTAAGGCACTATATCAAATGTAAGGATTATTTTTATTTTATTATTATAGTTGCCTTGGATCACTGCATTAAAAAAAATTAATTCGGCAAACATTTAACATAAGTTTCTTAATTCACGTTTTGCCTTAAATTATTCAGTAATATCATTCCTTACCCTTTTGCCCTTGACAAGCATTCCAATAGAGATCTAATGTGGAGTAAGGTTATATTACTTTGATGTGCGTGTGGCAAAACAGCATCAAACAATTCAGCTGAAAAGGCTTTTTATTTGTGAAAAAAAAAGGCAGCAAAATAAAGGTCAAAATCTTTGATGTTGTTGCAGAGAGGACTAGGGAAGGAGGTGTTATTTCAGTGCAATTATTGAAATTATAATACCAATTTGGGTCCGATTATTGATCGTTCACTGGAGAGTTCCCAACAATGTGAAATTCCGACAACAGAGCTAATCAAATGACTGTTGCAACATCATGCTTTTTGACTGCGAGTCAAAAGATGTTTCTCCAATCTTTGCCAGGTGGCTGGCAAGGCTGCATTGACAATATCACACAAGGATCACAGAGCGCTTGGTGTGAAATGACATTGAGGCACGGCAGATGCTTGAAAGAGCAGCAGTGCTGATTGTTTGGCTTAGATAATGAAGATTTTATTTTGCTAGTATCTGTTTGAAAATGTGGAGAGCACAGGGGAGCAGACGCAAATGAGAAAACACTCCCTGATTAGATCGATCACTTTTAGGAAATAATATTTGGGGATACAGCATATGAGTGGTTCAGGATATGACACGTGCATGTGGCTGCCAGGGTGGAGGAAGGTCAAACCGTATGGACCTTAGTCTTTTTTCGTCCAGCAATTCTTATGTTCCTTTGATTTCTTTGTGTGTGCGTGTTTATGTATGTGTGTGTGTGAGAGAGAGAGAGAGAGAGAGAGAAAGAAAGAGAGAGGAAAAAGAAGAATAGTAAGGAGTGAAGACCAGGGGTAAATAATGGCAATAAGAGATTGCTGAATATAATCCTTGCATTTGAAACTGCACCGTATCACGTCATCGGGACACCTCAAAGTGCTTTGCGGGATTCACTGCAAACTGGTGCAACCCTATGTATTTCGTGTCAATCAATCCTTCAGGAAGGGGCAGGGATGGTTGCAGAGCAGAGAAATACAATTATTTAAATCAGCCTCAACCCTCGGTGATGATAAAGCATTAATGGGGTTAGATCATCACTGCTGTACGAAGCAACGCCCGGAAAGTGGATCAATAAATCACACATCAGGTGATGCAAGCTGGTGATGTAGCTTCCAGCAAATGGAACGCCCAACACCCCCCAACCCAACCCATCCCTCACCCCGCACCGGAGAGCCCCAGATTTGGGTAACCACCCGACACGAAAGGCATCCTTCAAATGTCGTTGTTGTCGCTTTTACAAGAGACACTAACATTGCTTTCAACTGATGAACAACTTGCAAATTGGCGTCTGCAAAGGTGAAAAGCGCAGCCATTAATCTGCATGTTAAGGTTGCACTCCGCACATGGACCGCGAAGAAAAAAAAATCCACTCAAATGAGAATTACTCTCCGAAGGCCAGGTGCCGGCGATAATAAACGAGGAGAAATTAAAAAGTTATAAACTTAATTCATTAATAACTGAAAGCATCATTTATTACCCACCGTACTTACTGGGCCTGGACAATACCAGATGGCATTAACACTGCAGCTGTATCGATATTTGCAGGCAGTGCCAGTCTATATGACTGAGCACAGGCAATTATCCATTTTATTTAAATCCCACAATACATTTCAGCCCATGTTTGGACCCAGCAAACTCATTTTGTTTCACCAGCGAAAGGCAAGATGCATAGATTCTTCGATGAGATGTTAAACCCAGTTCCCCATCTGCCGACAATCCCCCAAATAAAATCAATCACTCACTCCAAGGCTGTTTGTGGGGTACTGCTGTGCACAAACCGGGTTCTGGGTTTCGCCCACAAAATGTATAGTCTCTGCACTTTAAAGTGTATCCTGTGAAGTACTTTGAGAAGTCTCGATGACGTGATAAAGCGCTATATCAAATGCAAGTATTATTATTATTATTTGTATTGGTAGGCAACTCAATGGCTTTGTTCTCAAATCAGCCCAAAGCTCCAAAGATGATCATAATTAATAACAATCATAATGGTAACACATTTGATACTGAGGCTTTCACGTCAGGAGGACGTCTCAAATTGCTTCACGGGATTTACTGTGAAGCGGAGTGGCTGTGTGTTTTGTGGGACCAGCCAATTTGCACACAGAATTGTCCTGCTCATTGCTGTAAAGTGAGTGACCGAATTTATTGGGCGATTGTCAACCAGGTCACCAGGAGACAAAAAAAACTGACAAATTGGTCTTTAGGAATATAGGTCCCGGGGGAACCTGGGGTTTTATTTCTGCAAGTGTTAAAACGTCAGGATAGATATGGCTTCAGTGTGACATTAGTGACAGGCAACAAAGAGAGGGAAAGCAAGAGAGCACCAAAACACAGCAGCTTTTCCACTCGCCTCAGGGATGACTAATGAGATCGGCTCACTGCTGCTAATGTTCCAATACAATTTACATTTGCACAACATCGAGGACACCTCAAAGCGCTTCTCACTGTTGGCTAGGGCAAGTTGGGGGGGTGCGGGGGGATTGGGAGGAGTTGAAGAGTCTATGAGCCAGAAAGTGAGCGACTGAGGGAGAGAGTGAGAGAATGAGTGAAATAGGGAGAGATTAAGTGGCGGAGAGAGAGAAAGAAAGAGAGAGAGAGAGAGTGGGAGAATAAGCAAGAAAGATAGACACAATAAAATAATAAAAAAATGGACAACAGAGAGAGAGAATGAACGAGAGATAGAATGAGCGAAAGTGATACAGAGGGAGAGACAAACACACAGGAGGGAAAGGAGTTGGGCTTTCGTGGTCAGTAAAGCTCACAGACAATAAATCTGCTAACATAATAAATGTTATCTCCAGTAGTGCGTTTTAGTAGCAATCAGGACTAAGCCAGCTGGTCCTACACTTGGCTCTGTGGTAATAGATCAATTTGCTTTGTTTATGTCCCCAAAAAGCCTAGGAGTAATGAGTGAAAGTGTGTTTTAATCTTGAACATTTCTTTTGTGAGAGGGATTCCTTCTGCAAGCTCAGAACCCAAACCATCATTTAAAAAGCTGACTCTCCGTCTGTTTACGTTGTGTAAAAGGTTACAGGCTCAGCTTCATCGCCTGTCCTCAGGAGAAAAGGCATCGACTACCTCGCACACTGACTTGTTGCAATTTACAGCCCAAACGAACCTTGTATCAGAGGTTGAGCCACGCACATAAAACAGGGGCCGTGAAATATAGACTGAAAGGGCGAGGGTGGCTCTGTAATGCAGAGGGTTTGGCGAGAGAGACAAAGAAAGAGAGCAACAGTGGATAGGATGTGCATTTCTTAAATGGAGTGCTCACTCACACAAAGGCACACAGTTACAGAGCAACACAACAGAAGCTATGATATCGGTATGCTTAAGGCTGATAGTTCCATGCTCCCCACCTAGGGATGGAAATTCCTGTGTATTCCTGGGGAATATATTTCAGTCACACGTCGAAGTTAGATGGTATATTTCTGGGGAACTTACTTTCCAGTCTTTATCTTAATTTCACCATTCTTCTTTAGCTCCATTCCATCCTTGAACCACCTGTACACGAGCTGAGGGTTGCCTGACGCCTCACATTTGAGAGAGAGCCTCTGCCCTTCCTGGAGAGTCTGATTTTTAAGTTTCTTCAGCTTCGGAACTCCTGTAGAGACAACAATAGGTCAATTTCCCCCGAACAGTCCGTCTATAACCAACAGCCAACAATCGCTCACAAAACCTGAGACCAACTTCCCACCCGATGAACGTGGACAGAATAAGCCAGTTAATGGAGCTGCGTCTTGGGGCTCCAGTACATTGTGTGTCAGCCAGGTGCAGTGGTAGTGCTCTCGCCTCTGAATCAGAAGCTTGTGGGTTCAAATCTCCACATCAGCATTTGGAATCACGTGGTCTAAGCTGACGTTCCAGTGCAGTGCTGAGGGTGTTGCATTGTTGGAAGTGCCGTCCTTCGGATGAGATATTAAAGCGAGGTCCCCTCTGCCTGCTCAGATGGATGTTAAAGATCCCGTGCCACTATTTGAAAATTCCTGGCCAACAGAAATAAAATCGGTCACTCACTCCTGTGGGACATTGCTGTGCGCAAACTCTCTGCCCATGAAATACACAGTCAATCCACTCTCCATTATATCCTGTGAAGCGCTTTGAAACATCTCTGCCATGTGATAAGGCTCTGTATCAAATGCAAGGATTATTATTATGACATTTTAATCAATGGCAGGTGACAGAACAGGAGTCGCTACTGAAGGCAGATCATTTCCACCGCAATAAATCTCAAAGTTCATTGTAATCTGGGTCGACTACTTTTATGGATGCTCAGGACATTTTATAGGTTGCGCACTAAACAGGATGTAAAGAGGTCTATTAGAACTTTGGACAAATGGTTCCTGGGCTCCCCAACAAGTAGTAAATTTGGAAAGCATTAACTTTCTGTTGGGTCTCTGCACTCCCAAACATTTGGATGTAACTCCTTCCAGTCCACCCCTTAAATTACAGTTGTTATACTTAACAGTAGGTTTTATTTTTAAGATAAAAGAAACATCAAGTCACACGTCAAATGATTTCTGGTTCTATTTGTGGCCACATTCCGTGTAAGTGCATATTATCACTGTCATATTACACAGTCTGTCTGTTCCAGGTGGACGCTAAAGATTCCCCCTGCGGCGCTACTCAAATTTCTCGCTGTAACGGTGTCCTGGCCGACAATCCCTAAAAACAAAAAGGGTCTTTTCACTTCCTGGCTGTTTGTGGCACATTGCTATGCATAAATTGTTGCAGTGGTCTCTCATAAAACACACAGTCACTACACTTCATAGTAAAATCCTGTGATGTGCTTTGAGACATCTTCCTGACCAGACATCCTGGGTTGAGACATCTTACATCTCACAAAGCAGTAATTAAAAGCCACATATTTTTTAAAAATGAGGTTTGATATATGGCTTTTCACATCAGGGGGATGTCTCAAAGCTCTTTATAGGTACCTCTGACAATGTAGTGCTCCCCCCAGCATTTCACTGGAACCCAAATAAAGATTCCCCCATTGCTTCCTTGGAGATGTAATTCAGTCTGTTGTGGTTTGCAGACTTCTCATCCTATACCTCACAGAATCAGACATCATAAACCCTATCCCACCCGGCTCTTTAGCCATCAGCCTTTTAATAATCTGTGAAATAAACTATGAGAAATGTTAATGTGTCTGAACATAATGTGGTATTGATTATCCTGCCTTAACCACCACATCAAACACAGAAAGAGAACGCACACATTACGCAATTTGCTTTCTTTTCCAATAACTTTTCCAGATTCAGTTGAAGTTTTTTTCATACCCTCTTCTTGGAACAGGTAGATTAGTATTACAAATCTATTTCAGTCACCCGTTCCCTCGAAAAAGTTATAAAAATAAATAAACTCATCAAAATGTTTAATAATAATAAAAAAACGCCTTTGTGATTGACAGTGTCAAGCACTTTACGACTCAAGACTGAGGTGGATAGATATTTGTTAGGTCAGGATATCAAGAGATATGGGCATGGGAGGGTAATTGGAGTTGAGGTGCAGATCAGCCATGATCTAATAGAATGGGGGAACAGACTCGAGGGTTTGAATGACCTACTCATGTTCCTATGTTCCCAGAACATGTTCCCAGTGTAAACCATCTCCGTTTGTTTCTGATGAAGCCTGAACATAACAGAATAAAGAGTTCGCTTTATATTAATCGCTTTAGTTTTGCAGTTTGCACACCCAGAACCACCCGCAACGCATTCGCCTCCGCCTCCAAAATACTTTGAGACATGAAAAGCATTGCCTCAATGCCTTGGGTTCTTACTACTATTTATCATTATAATTACAAATCATGTTCCATCGTCAAAACTCCAGAAAATAACAATCCTTGCACTTGATACAGCGACACAGAAAGGCCTCAAAGTGCTTCACAGGATTTATCACATATCCCACCACACAGAACAGCGTAGCGACTGTGTGTTTTGTAGGTGAACACAACAGCCAATTTGCACGCAGCGATGTCCCACAAACAGCTGTGAACCACAGAAATTTACAGCACAGTAGACGCCGATTCAACCCATTTTGCCTGTCTGTGCCGGCTCCTTGAAAAGCAATCTTTTCAGTCTCAATTACCTTTCTCCACATGTAATTGACTCATAGTTTAGGTAGTGAAGTGAATGACTAATTTTAACTGGGGTAGGGTGCGGTTTGGCTAAAACACCGGGAGAGAAACTCAACTGAGTCAAACTTCTCCAAACATATGCAATCTGTGAACCCCATATTCCTAACCGCATTACATCAGGCGCCTGAGGGTATGTCTGTCTGTCTGTCAGTTAAGTAGCATGGGTTTGAAAGCAATGCTCTGTGAGGTGTTACGAGTTGGCAGCCTAGATATTGTGAGTGAGTTTCCCCTTATTTACACACAATTTCACTTCTCAGAGCCAGATGTGCTCAACAATCTCAAAGCTTGTCTGCGTAACAGCTGGCAATGATATGTGAAGCAGATTTACCAACTCCCACTGATGAGCTCCATACCCGTGTGATGTTGTGTTCCCGAACTGGGTTCTTACTTAATGCCAGATAAACGGAAGTTTGTGGAGTGAGGAAATCTGCCTGAGGTTTTGTGCTGCCTGGGAATTGAGTCCAGGTCCTCTCACTTGCGAGGCGAGTGCTCTAACTAATATCCTACAGGACTCCACTGGTTGATTGATTTCAGTGCTCAACGCATACCTAAATCCCAATGAGACTGATTCCTCGATAACTGATTTCACTTTTGCCTTTTATCCACAGAGCAGAACATTGAGACTCTAGCAAGCAGGACCATCGAGTGGTCAGTGTGGGTTTCTGCCTGAACTTTAGCCTTCACCTGTGTTTGCGACAGTATGTGGAGTCCTGTAGCTTCAGTGGTTAGAGCACTCACCTCGCAAGCAAGAGACCTGGGCTCAATTCCCGGGAGGGTGAAACCTTGGGCAAGTTTCCTTACTCCACAAGCCTGATAATAATCCCTCAAGAAAATAAAAAGAATAATAAATTGGTCACGTCAATTACGACTGTTTGTGGGACACTGCTGTGCACAATTGGCTGCAGCATTTCACCCACAAATATACAGTCAATTCACTTTACAGTATATTCTGTGAAGCGCTTTGAGATGTCTCGAAGACGTGGAAAACACTCTATCAAATGCAAGGATTATTATTATTATTACGAACTTTACCCTTCACCTAAGTTTGCGGCAGTAACTGTCCAAAGAAGGCAGTTCCTCCCTGTGTCCAGGCCAACAATCAACCCCCAGATAAAATCACTTGCTCACTTTTTGGCTGTTTGCAGGAATGTTGCTGTACACAAATTGGCTGCCTCATTCGCTCACAAAAACACACAGTCACTATACTTCACGGTAAAATCCCGCAAAGCGCTTTGAGAAATCCTCCCAACGCAAAATCAAACACAAGGATTATTATTTATTCGCTGGGCTATGTAAGGATTTTGAAAATGAAACTCCCCCCACCCCCACCCCCTGAAAAATAGACCTTCAATTATAGAGGCAATAAAAAAACATAGCATTCCCTTTGTCAAAAAAAGCACCCAACAACAAACAGTTTTTCCAAGATGCTGCGCTTTTTCAAAAATGTCTAAAAGCAAATGAAGCACTTTCCAAGACATTACCAGCACAGATGCTGTTAAGGCACACATACACACACACATACGCACACATGCAAACACACAAACACAGCACGATTAGGCTACAACTCTGTGCGTCGCTCATGGGCACATACACACACAAAACGCCTATGCAATCTGTTCCGTTTAGCGCTTTGGAAATCACAGAGATACTTCCTTCCCAAAGAGTGGTGCTGACACCCCCAAACCCAGAGCTTCAACCCACCGACCAGAGCTCACATGTTCTATGTTACAAATGTTCTCTGACAGGAGCTTAGACTGTGAAAACACAAAGTGTGTTAGATTGGATCCCAGCGTGCGGATGCTCGCAACTACAACTTGCATTTATATAGCACCCCTCACGCAGGGTAGCGTGCCAGAGCGCTTGACGGTAGCAGAGCCGAGCTGGGGGGAGAGGGGAGGTGACCGTAAGTACGGTCGAAGAGGAAGGTCTTCAGGTGCGACCTGAAGATGGGGAAGGAGGGGGCAAGGCGGAGGGATAGAGGAAGAGTTTCGGGGCGCCTAGTGGAATGAAGGGCATGAGGGACAAGCAGAAAGCCGAGCCAGTCAAGCGGAGGCAGCGGGTAGCGGGTTGGGAAATAAGCAGGTCAGAGAGGTTGGGAGGTGCCAATTTCATTTCATGTGCAAGTGGTTCCGTGGGGTCCTGTAGCTCAGTGGTTAGAGCACTCGCCTCGCAATCGAGAGGCCTGGGTTCGATTTCCGGCAGTGTGAAACCTTGGGCAAGTTTCCTCACTCCACACTCCTGATAATAATCCCTCAAAAAAAAAAATTGGTCATTTCAATCCACGACTGTTTGTGGGACGCTGCTGTGCGCAATTGCCTGCCGTGTTTCGCCCACAAAATATACAGTCAATTCACTTCACAGTATATTCTGTGAAGCGCTTTGAGACGTCTCGAACGCAAGGATTATTATTATTATTAATAGTCGTAGTATTATTATAAACGCAGCTGAGAGAAAAGAGGGACATTTCACAGTGCCGCTCTGGTGAATAAAATCCCCAGATACTCAGAAGTGTATCCTCACATACTTCTGAACAGCGAAAAAAAACTGCACATCTGTGTGTCGCTTGTTCTCCTGCCTTCCCACTTTTCAACCGGTACAACTTACAGCACATTTTTTCCTGAAGCATCTTAAAACATTCCAGTGGGTACGTTTCTTTTTAAACACCCTCCTCCCCGCACACACACAAACACAAAATAAAAGCCCCTTGCATTTTACTTTGTAGGGTTTCATCTTCCAAAAAAAAACTTCTTCTGAACCGCCTCAGTAACTCGCAAGTTAAAACACATTCCCTCCTCCGCACACTATAAGGAGATGGCATTGATTCGCAAAGCAGCTTACGTACACAAGAAAGCAGCACAACACAACATAGCACAGAACAGCACAGCGTGGAAAAGACAATTGCAGAGTTTGCATCAGTTGCTGAAGGGAGCAAAGAGGCAGTGTCTTAAGCCCTTACCATCCTTGCCCTTCTTTCTCCCACCTCTGCGACCTTCCCCTCTCTTTTTCCCCTTGCCCTTTCCCTTCCTCTTATTTTCAGACATTCTGGGTTGATTCTGATAGTTCCAGAGCATGCAAGTCCCCACATACAACAACTCCCTCGCTCCCTCACTTGTACGCAGAGAGACCTCTGCTGCGGTAAGGCTCACTAAAACTTCCTTATCACTATGTTTATTCAACGCCCACTCTCGTACCTCCTACTTGCTGCATGACGTTTCCATTCAAGACACATTCACAGGTCACCTCTTCCTCCTCCCCGCCCTCCATCTCCCCCCCACCCACCCCCTACCCTCTCCCCAGCAATTCGATATTTTGTTTGCTTTGGAATTGGTGTAGAATGAAGGCATTGCCTTCAAATGTAGTTAAAGTCTTGTTGGTGCGGGAGTGAGTGGGTGTTTCTAAGAGGAGAAACAGCACCACATTCTCATGCCAGGTGTTAGGGAGATTCAATTTCTTTGCTTCTACTCATTCTCCACCAACATAACCACCACAACAAATTGCACTTCCACGTCAGGAGGACGTCCCAAGACAACCACGGGTTTGCACCCGAGCCGCGGAAATGGGAAACCACAGAAAACTAACACGCAAACTCATAATCTGGGACGCAGATCAAATGCGGAGAATTATTATTATTGTTATATTACTGCTTTGGCTTTATGACTGACGGGAAGTGTGAGCGGACGGAGCTATGCGAGGACGCCAAAAACAAACACACGACTTTGATGAGCAATAAAAATGGGATTTATGACCCTGACCGACAGAAACAGAGGCTTATCACAGATAGCGTGATTAGAGAGATGGTAAGCCATTAACACAGTGTGTTCCTCCAGGGATCAGGGTTAATGCATTATGGTGATCAAATTAGGAACATAGGAACAGGAGTAGGCCATTCAGCCCCCCGCCCTTCTATAGAATCATGGCTGATCTGTACCTTGACTCCAATTACCCACCTTTGCCCCATATCCCTTGATACTCTGCCCTAACAAAAATTACCATTCTCCCGCAAAAAAAGGTTTTTATTTTATGGTAATTTCGACTGCTAGTGTTTTGGGAGCCGTGTTTAGGATTTTAGCACGTGTGAACAAAACAGTCCATTTAATTACCAGATAAGGAAAACCTCTAAAATAATTTAATTTACTGAGCACCAAATCAGTGCCTGATTAAGGAAACTCATCACTGGGCGACACTTATTGGCGCTTCTAAGCACACCAAGACACCGATCGGCGTGAAGGCCGCTATGTAAATACAGGTTGTTGTTGGTTGTTATTGTCACTCTCGTCTGCGCACTGTGAACTCACACACACAAGACTTTGCCACAATGTAATCGAGTTACAGCTGTGATGTGAAAACAGCGGATCATTTACACCATTTGAAATGCAAATTGCGGGGTTTGTAGGTTCAAGTCCCGTGTCAGGAATTGGAGCTCATATACTCCAGGTTGACACTCCAAAGCAGTGCCTGGGGGAGGGAGTGCTGCATTGCCAGAAACACCGTCCTACCCAAGAGACATTAAACCAAGCTCCTCGTCCGTGCCCTGCTCACTGTTCAGATACATTTTAAAAGATCCCATGACTCTACTCGAAAAGTAAAGGGAGTTTCTCTCCGATGTCCTGGCCAACTGTTTGAGATGTCTTGACAACGCGATTGGAGTCCTGTAGTGTAATGTTTGGAACACTCGCCTTGCAAGCGAGAGGACAGCTAGAAGCTGGTAATCTCAGAGAAGAAAAGCGCTGATAATAGGGGTGGATTAGTAGGATTTGGTGATTAAATACTCAGTGACCTTCCTGTGATCTACTCTCCCAACAACAGTTTTGATAATTTGAGATAGCAAGGCACGCCCGAGCGATCTGATTGAGAGATGAAAGTAAAGGTGGCTTGTGCCAATATTTCACCAGCCTACTGTCATTACTGTAAATTTCTCAAACCATAAACATACCAAATATTAGTTCAACTGGAGCTCGTAGGGAAAAGGACTCTCACTCAAGGGGGGTGTATGTGTGTGTGAGACATATCTACAGAAAACACACACTTGCTCGCAGATTCACTTGTCCATAGATTCACGCACACATGAACCCACCCACACATCCATTCAACCTCGCACACACAAACATTCACATTCATTCACACATATACACCCCTTGAGTGAGAGTTATTAACACAATAATTAACACAAGGATTATCACAATAATGATCCTTGATTTGATATGGCACCTTTCACATCAGGATGATGCCTTAAAGTGCTTTACAAGAACAACTGCAAAGTTGTATATTGCTGGCAAATGGGGCTGCCGCGTTTCACCCACAAATTCACTTTACAGCATATTCTGTGAAATGCTTTCAGACATCTAGAAGACGTGAAAAGCGCTATATGAAAATGCAAGGATTATTATTATTACTTGGCCCATTCACAAACAAAACTATGTATGCAAAAAATTTCCTTCTGAATGTGATTATCAAATCCCCACCTTTTTGCCAGTACAGACCTATATCGAAAGCTTGCACGGAATGCTCAATTGATGCTGAAAGAAACTGGAATCTTTTGTGTAATTAGTTTGTACCTACTCTGTGAATAATAATAATCCTTGCATTTGATACAGCACCTTATCACATCATTTGAGACGTCTCAAAGCGCTTCACAGAATATACTTTGGAGTGAATTGTATATTTTGTGGGCGAAATGCGGCAGCCAATCGTGCACAGCACTGCCTCACAAACAGTAGTGGATTGAAGTGACCAATTTTATTATTGTTTTTTTTCTTGAGGGATTATTATCAGGAAACTTGCCCAAGGTTTTGCCTTGCTGGGAATTGAACCAAGGTCCCAAGTACAAGTGATACTTTTTTTTAAAAAAGCTGAAACCTTCATTTTTTAAAGTCATGAATGGACTAGCACTCGCTTCCGTGACAAAGTAAAAGTCCACAAAAACATACGCCTCTTTGCCTATTATGGGATTACAAAGGGCTCAAATTCGTGTCCAAACGAGTCACCCCAGCACATAAATCAGTGATGGAACAAGACAAGTCTTAAAAAGGGCATTTAGGAAAAACTCACACTGATTTTTTAAGAAAACATTATTGCATGCAACTGAGACATCAAGACCACAAGAGCATGCAATTAAGAATTAAAGAGGCATAATGAAACTCGCGTGGGTAAGATCTTAGCAAAACTGTACTATCAGCAGTCAGGACTATGCTGTTTGTCAGAATTTTCGATGAGGCAGCCTATTGGCAAGTGAGAATCAAAGACTTGGCCTTTCGTATGAATATAAAAATGCCTCCGCCCTCACAAGAGCAAGCAAGGACATGCACGCAGATGGGAAAAACGCTTTCAGGCTTCTTATTAACTTGTCTCACTATTAAACTTTGACCATTCTCAGAGATTCAATTAAGCTGTGTACAGATACTCGGGCAACTTGTAGGCTGTAACAGAAACCTGATAATGGGTTTCAGCATATGGCTCACATCACCTACTGGGTCAGACCAACCCCTTCAACAACAACAACAAAAAATTACATTTCTACAGTGCCTTTCACGTCGGGAGGATGTCCCAAGGTGCTGGACAGTTAGGTTTGGACCTGAGCTGGGGAATGGGATCCGGAGTGGTAGAGGGTAGGGAGAGTAGGGGTAGGAGGGTGACTGAAGGCACGGTCGAAGAGGAGGGCCTTGAGACAGGCCTTGAAGGAGGCAAGGAAGGGAACAAGGTGCAGGGACTGTGGGATGGAGTTCCAAAGGGTGGGAGCAAAGAGGCTGAAGGCCCAACCACCGATGGTGGGGCGGAGCGGGCCAAGCTGGGTATATGGCGCAGGCCCTTGCCCTCCAACCCTCTTGACTCCAGCCCGCAGCTTGGGTGCAAACCCTTCACTGTCCGGATCCTTGGGATATTCTGCCAACGTGACAGGTGCTGTATAAATCCAATTTGTTGTAGTTGTTGTGATGACCAGAAGATTCCATCATTATTCGAGGGAAACCAATTTTGCTCAGGGGAACCCGGATATAAATCCCAACGCAAGATTTCCAAGGTTCCTGACACTGATGGGTTCCTTTGATCTTGTTGGATACCTGTTGCCAATAACCCCTGAGCACAAGGCAAAATTAATCTGTCATCAAAGACAAATGCATGAAATAGCAGGCAGAAACCTAACCAAGCCCTATTGAATGTACCAACCAGATACAAGTAGTTTTAAATTACAACAACAACTTACACAGCTCCTCTCACACAGGTAGCGTGCCAGAGAATTGGACATGGCGAAGCACAATGACGAGCCGGGGGAAAGGGAGGTGACTATAAGCACAGTTGGAAAGGAAGGTCTTCACGTGTGACTTGAAGATGGAGAAGAAGGGGGCAAGGTGGAGAGATTGAGGGAGAGTTTCCATGGCATCATGGCTGAACACCCGGCCACCAATGGTGGGACAGAGGGCACGAGGGACAAGTAGGAGGATGGAGCAAGTCAGGCGGAGGCAGCTGGTAGTGGAGTGGGGAGTAAGCAGGTTGGAAAGGTAGGGAGGTGCTAGGGCATGAAAGGATTTGAAGACAAATGTGAGGATCTTGAAATCGATCCGTTCAGTGATGGGGAGCCAGTGGAGCCTCAAATCACTGTGAAACCGTTCATACCTTCACCAGTCATCAATGATACCAGGTATCCATTGTGGAGTCCTGTAGCTCAGTGGTTAGAGCACTGGGCTCGCAAGTGAGAGATCTGGGTTTGATTCCCGGCAGTGCGAAACCTTGAGTAAGTTTCTTTACTCCACACATCTGATAATAATCCCACAAGAAAAATACAATAATAATTTGGTCACTCAATCCATGACTGTTTTTGAGACACTGCTGTGCGCAATTGGCTGCCGCATTTTGCCCACAAATATACAGTCAATTCACTTTACAGTCCATTCTGTGAAGCGCTTTGAGACGTCTCGAAGACGTGAAAAGCGCTATATCAAATGCAAGCATTATTATTATTATTATCCACTGTGTTGAAAGGTTATTAACTACAGAGCTCATTCACTAACATTCTCAAATTCATTTTCCTTCAATCATTTAACGCACAGACACGAGAGCAAGAAAGATGAATTTAAAGGCCAGATGGAATCTGCTTTGTTCTTTAAAAAAACACCTTGGAAATAAGATGTCTTGTCTCCGCTTGGCTCAGTTGGTCGCTCTCTTCAGTATCTCAGAGACAGAAGGCTGTG